TTATTATTAAAGTACTTTTCAATATTAAATTCAATTGAAAAGAAGAAGCAAACGTAAAAGCAGAGAATAGGTACATTAAAAATGCATAAAAGATAAATTTTATAATAGAGGTATTGAAATTTAGAAAACGTCAAAATTGACCAAACCGTTCTGTATCAAACCGATGTTTTTCAGGAACCGCCCTTTACCGTAGTTTACTGGTCTGGTTCGCCTGGTTTTGCAACAGAATACAGCCTAAATTGCACACATTAATATACTAGATTAAGAGGTTAAGTAATAAATACTTCGTATTTTTGCTCTCTCCCAGGGGCGGATCGTGAATTTGTGGGGCCCTGGGCTGAAACTACTTAGAGGCCTACCTAAGTGCTTAACTAATAGCCATGCCAAAAAACTGTTTCTATAATGATATATTATTATTATATATTCTTTATTGCACAAAAAAACATAAATGTTACTTAAATCTACGCAAGTATTAGTTGTACAAAAGGCGACCTTATTGCTGTGGTAGCAATCTCTTCCAGGCAACCTTTGGGTGAGAGAGAAACCGAAATAGTGATATTATAATAAGAATAAAAAAAAATAAAACAATTTTATTTATTTATTTATATTTATGAATTAGTAAAAGAAATTGATAGGTTGCAGTCACAGAAATTGACAGTTATTTGGTCATCACATTGCAAGTCTTTTGTTAGATCACAATTTATGGAAAGAAGTGATAAATTATTTAGTCGACGGTTTGACATTGTTGTCCTATATTTATTTTTTACATCTTGGAGAAGGAGCGTTCTGCTTCACAGCTAGTAATTGGCAGTGTTTAAAAAATCTTTAAAATGGTATAGCAGTTAGGGAACACGTCAATAAGTTTATTTTCATACATGAGCATAAAATGTCACTGCAAGAGGTGTAAGACTCTGGCTTAGATTGGAGTAAGTACGATTTTAATTGAATGCACTCATTCACTAAATGCTCGTCTACGTCATCGGGATAGTAATCGATAATATGACTAGCAATTTCTAAATCTATGTTTTTGATATTTTTGTCTTGCAAATCCATTAAAAATTTGAATTTTTTGCTATAAGTCTCATATAGACTTGGCTCCTTTTATTTAAATCCATAATCAGCTTATCCAACGCAACGTTTAACGTGTCTCTTTTAAATCTTTCTGCGCCGTATACTGAGAATTCACCTGTAGACTTATCTGAACATTTTGGAGTAATGCGTCTCTTGTTTATGTCATTGTAGTCTATTCCCACACTAGTACTTAATTTTTTAGCTTTCTCTTCGTATTCCTTTAGCTTTTGATCTGATTGGTGTCGTATGTTGTTCTAAAAGTCTTTTAATGACACAATTAACTTGTTGCCTTTACAAATGTCTAAACCAGGGCTCTGTATTTTTTTTATTAACTAAATGAAATCTCTCCAAAACTTCTTCCCAAAAGATAATCAAAATTGCAGCCTCGAGTTTCGCCATTTTATTGAATAAATTTCGTGCCTCTTTCCGGAAATCAAATTTCTCAACCTCATTTTCGGTGAAACTTATTATAATTATTTTTTAAGGCTTTGACAGCATCATAGTGGCAAGACCATCTGGTCTGGCTTAAACTTTTTAACGTGAATTTTAATTTTATTTCACGATTCAACAGTTCCCACCTATGGGTCTGTTGTTTTTAGCGGGGTCTGGGGGCCCCTTGTAACCTCGGGGCCCTGGGCTACAGCCCAAACAGCCCTTAGGTAGATCCGGCCCTGCTCTCTCCGACTTACTAGATTGGCATACCGATTCACTCCTATACATGTAAACGCCGACCTAAGGTTTCGTTTGCCAGCAGGGTATACAAAAATAAATCAACACTAAAAAATGTATTTGAGGAACATAAAAGTTTTTGATGCTTCATTATTAACCATTTTTTGGCAGATGCTTTAAAAATGTGTTGAACAGAGCTTTTAACTGAAGAATTGCAATGAAGATCTATATGAAATTAAATTATATTATTGTTGAGGTAGCTAAATACCTGTTCCAGTGCGACCTTTTCACCTTGAAAAAAAGATTGAGAGTGCACTATGTGCGCATATTTGAGGTAAAACCTCTTCTTACTTCCGTTTATCCATCTGTTCCTCTGTCACAAACATCGACAAAATGTAGCGGAATTTAATTACCTCGGCAGTTTGATTTCGGAAAAGGCCAATATCGATTCTGAAATTCAGCACAGGATTAGTAGCGCCTCAAGAGCATTCTGGCAATTAAAAGACTGGGTTTTCTACAATCATGACTTGAGCACAAAAACGAAACTTCAATGCATTAAACAAGATAAGTTGCAACAGAGACACCTTAGACAACTCTTAAGAATCCGGTGGTTCCATCATGTCTCAAACGTATCGGTCCTTGAAAAAGCTTATTGCCAGAGTATTGAAGTCATGGTTACAAAATCCTGCTTAAGATGGGCTGGTCACGTATGCAGAATGCAAGAAAACCGCATACCAAAATCTCTGCTTTACGGTGAGCTTGTAGACGGTAAGAAGAGGCCGGGTGGACAACTCAAAAGGTACAAGCGTTGATTGAAGGATATTTTCCACAAAAACTTAAAGGGGATCAGGATGTAGAATCAGTGGGAAGAAGCAGCGCACAACAGAACGCAAGAATAGTTGTAAACTAGAGAATAATTGTAAACCCAGTTAACAGCATCAACCAAAAAGAAAAGAGGCAACAAAATAATGAGATTTTTGAATGTCCGGAGTGCGGAAGAGAGATAACATCACGTGTCGGGCTTTTCAGTCATAGAAGAGCTCACGAAAGAAAAAGCCTTGCGTAACCATCTTCTGATACTTATCAAATACTCGTCAGCGAGTAATGACAGTAACGATGAAGCTTGTGATTGCAGAATGCAATCACAAGCCGTTTCGTCTGTCTTTTTATTGCTTTTAATCATAACCAAAATCAAACGAGTCCCAAATAATGAAGAATGCTTGATTTTAAAGGATTTCTCTCGTAAAAATTCACAATTCGAATGACGTAGTAGTAAAATATTTTAGTTGAAAAACATAGGTATAAAAAAGCTTATATGGTGCTTCTTTATTACCAACGTTTTTCATCTAAAATATTCTACTACTACATCATTAGAATTGCGAATTTTTATGAGAGAAATCCTTTAAAATCACAGCATTTAAAAAAGTTTCTACATAATGCATCAAAAAATATATTTCTATTTCAACTGTTGGCCTCCTTCGAAATGGTAAATTTATCTTAAAGCCTGTTTTTATTTTAAGAAAGGAAAGTTCTAAAAATAAAGCACTAAAAGATAATTCACCACAGACTATAATATACGCAAGGCTAAATACACAGGTACTTAACAACCTTAAAGATCGGTACTGAATTATGAAACATTACTCAGAGATGGCTTTCGGTAATTATTTTTATTGAATTTTGGCAATAGCAGGCATATAAATATATTTTGTTTGAAATAAAGTAGTTCCAAAGTAATTTCAACCAATAATTGGTCAAGTCACAAAACGTAGTTTTGAGAAATACGACTTTAATTTTTTTTTGGAGTTATTTCCTAATTATTCGGTTATTTTTAAACTTATGATTGTAATATTTGGTATATTATGAACAACTTATGTTGAACTGAAATGAAATATAAAACAGTTTTTTTTTAAATAAATTACCAATGGAATTACAAATACTAACATATTTTTGAGTCACTTAACATAATTAATATAATAAAAAAATATACTTACAGGACTTAACCAGTGGCGTGTTCACCATGGAAGCTAGGGAAGCACAGCTTCCCTAGTGTCGATTAGTCATATTATTGTTTTATACGTAATCATTAACACAAAATAATATTTCCTTTCTCTATTAATTTTTTTTATTTTCATTCGAGTTATCTTATTCGCTTTTCAAAATACCCATTATTTTCTTATGAATCTGAGCGTTCCGAGCGCGTTGAATCAATATACATCAATATGTATCAATATGCAACCAACTATGCAGTCACACGACCGCGGCCGATCGAAGACCGATCGTGGGGAATCGGGATACGCTACTATTATGCAGCTTACGGGGTTTAGCGTAATTTTGTATTAAAATCAGCTGGCTCCCCGCGTGTCTGAATAATTAGGTAGCAAAATAGTCAAAATACGGACATTTTTCGGTATTTTTTAATTTTGTAGTCACTAGTATAATGTTTAGCTTTCGTATTTTTAAATTGAATATAAAATAACAGTGTTTTGTGAGTGCTTTGTCGGCTTTCGTGTCGAAAAAAGAGGCTGAAATAGAAAAGGCCAAAGGACAGCGTGTAAGCAGCGGGTTTTCTAGATTATGTCGTCTTCCGCGCTTGACAATAATTCAAATGTTCCCTGTCCATCGGGATTGGTTTCGGTTTCTCCGGGTGCACAGTAGCAAATCGCATATATCGTAAGAGGAAAAACTTTTGGAAAAACAAAAATTGAGCATATGTTAGACAATCAACAAAAAATAGCGGTACAGACACATAAAGAAGAAGTAAAAAAAAATCGGGAGCCGCTTAAAAGAATGATAGATGTAGTTTGTTTTCTTGGTAAACATGATCTATCTTTTCGGGGTCATTGTGAATCTGGGAGCTCAACAAATAGAGGAAATTATGTGGATATGATTAGTTTTTTATCAAAATACGAGCCAGTTTTGAAACTTCATTTTGAAAATTCGACAAGGTTTAAAGGAACATCCAACTTAATTCAGAATAACCTTATTTTAAGTGTGGGAGAAGTTATGCTAAAGACAATTAAAAAAGAAATAAGTGAAGCATCATTTGTAGCTTTTATTTTGGATGAGACTACTGACATATCTAACACTAGTCAACTATCGAAAATCGTCCGCTATGTGACAAAACAAGGTCAAATAAAAGAAAGATTTCTTGGTTTTGTTGATGTCTCAATGCAAAGAACAGCTTTGGCTCTCAATGAGATCGTTTTATCAACTATTGCGGTTTAAAATTAGTAGGGCAAAGCTACGATGGAGCAGCAGTTATGGCAGGCCAATTAGGGGGTCTACAGGGCAAAGTTAAGGAAACTTACCAATCAGCCCTTTTTGTACATTGTATGGCACATAGATTAAATTTGGTGATGCAACAATCTCTCAATAAAATAAGACAATGCAAAATATTATTTCAAACCTTAAGCGGCCTCGCAGCATTTTTTTCCAAATCTTCGAAACGATCGACGGCATTGGACCAAGAAGTTCATAAAAGGTTACCAAGAGTAGCTCCTACTCGTTGGAGTTACAACGGCAGACTGGTAGAGACCGTTTTTGAATATCGACTACCCCTTATTGACTTTTTTCAAAAAATAATGGACAACAGGCAAGATTGGGATAATGAAACAGTGGTGTGCTCTACCGGTTATTTAAATATGTTACAACGAGAAGGTGATTTTAATTTTCTGTTACTTGTTTTTTCTCAAATATTTCCATTCTGCGATAATCTCTTTAGCGTTCTACAAACTAAAATGAGTGATATAAATTTTTGTATAAGAAAAATTCAGGAATTTAGGAGAATAGTTTCATCAAAAAGGGATCAATTTGATGAATTTTGGCAAAAATTCGAATATTTGGACATTTTAACTACAGAACCGGAAAGAAAAAGAACACGGACGGAAGATACCGTGAACGATAAGAAAATGGATCCAAAAACCCAAGCTCGTAAACTGTTCTACGAAATCATTGACAATATTTTGGCTCAGATAGACGACAGATTTAACAATTTTAAAAGCCTAAAATTTCTAGAACTCGTCAATTTCGAAGAAAATAATGCACTTTCAGAAGAAGCCTTTAATTCTTTACAACAAAATTATCCGAACTTTTTTGACTTTCCCGCGTTGTGTTCCGAGCTGTTTGTTTTATACAATACTTCAGAGGGTTTAAATAAACATAGTGTTAGTGAGTTATTAAAATCTATTAAAGAATGTGGACTACATCGTGCGTGTCCGGAAATCGTTAAGCTTTGTGAACTGTCACTTACCATACCCGCGACAAGTACATCAGCAGAACGTAGTTTTTCTACACTCTAGAGGATTAAAACTTTTATTAGAAACTCTACAGGACAAGAAAGACTGTCTGCTTTAGCAATGCTTTCCATTGAGCAAGAACTACTTCGGGAACTTTCTGAGGAACCAAATTTTTACAATAACGTTATAGATGAATTTGCAAAGCAAAACCGAAGATTGGAGTTGCGTTGCAAATAAGGTTAGTCTCAGTAGTAAATCATAAATTCGGATATTTTTTAAAGTTTTTTTTGTGTTTAAATATTATAAATTTATACGGAACAATATTATTTTCATTATTAATCTGTTAGGTAAAAAAAAAATATTAAAAAAAAAACTTGGAACTTGATATAAGACTTGTGTTTTAATAAAATACTAAAAGACTAATAAAATGAAGTTATTTTTAATCTTCTCATTCAATGTGTGATTAACTTTTACCTATGAAGCATCTTCTGTATCTAGTTCCAAAAAATAAATTTGATCAATCATCGAATTACTGCTGTCCAAAAAACAATCTTCTTTAGAAATATCTTCTTGCTCTTCTTCTTTCGGCATTTCTTCTTCTTTTTGCTCTTCCTCCTCGTATTCCTCTTCTTTTCCATGCTTCTCTTCAAATTGTTCTTCATTTAACTTTTTTTCGATAAAGTCAGGTACATGAAGTAGGTTAAGTACATCGGCAGGATAACTAAATGTACAAAGCAGCCTGCACAAGTAAAGTATTTTGCAGCCTGCACAAGTAAAGCCCAATCTTGCTTATGTTCCTCGGAAACTTATGAGGCCGTTCTTCTCTGAGTTCTGGAAGATTGCTCCGAAAAAGGTAATCGTGGGCGGCCGGCAGATGATGTGGATGGAAGGGCTTCATTTAACTCAAGGATAAAATCCTCCTTTAACCAGTCATATTTTTTTTTTAATAAATCTTTAAGCCGCGAAGTCGCCTGCCACCTTTTTTCAAAATTTATACAAAGGCGATTTATCTTTTTTTTCCATTGTACCTGATAGTTCTTGTTCATTATTCTGAAATTTTTGTCTTACAAAATTTGAAACATACCCGCTTTTCTCAACTTTATTGGCCTCTTGTAGCCATTTTTCCAAAAGATCTATTTTTTTCAATCGATACATAGCTGAAAAAAAATTATTTAAAAAAAAAGTTGCAGCTAGTAGCAGCCAATTTTTTCTTTGATATGTTAAAAAAATAAACAACAACTGAATAGGTACAAATACTTCACTAGAACGTCTAAATATAAATGCTAATAAGGAATAAAAATGAAAACCAAACAAAAATATATGCATGTGGTCTTCTTCGTTTGTATATCTGCTTGCATTCCACGTACAAAAAAAGTCCTACAGTGAGTCTAAAATATGTATTTTGGCCAAAAAATTAGCTTCTAGAAATCATAGTGCGACGTCATTAGTTGGTAAACTTCACCTACAAAGCGTGTGTTGTTTTCGTTTAGTGTTTTTTTCTTCAAAAAATAAAGAAAAAAAAGAGCGATTTTGAATCTTCCAAAGAATCTGGGACGTCCGAATTTTAGGATACAGACACAGACCTAGAAGAGCTAATGGAGGGTCAGACCGTAGGAGTTAAAATTAGTGGTATTCGATCAAAAAAGAAGAGCAGGGGAGTCGCTTTTCGCACAGACAGTTTGAAATCGATCAGAAGCTGCATTATTTGAGACTTGCGCATTAACACCAATTTGGAAGAAGTCACAAACATGTTGGGAAGACGCTCTGAGAACAAACCTTATTACGGATAAAAAATAGATATGTTGAGTAGATAGTTATCTGACTGAAATGATAAATTAAAGAACTTTTTATTTTTTTAAGTTAATCATAATTTTTTCTTCCAAAAAATAATGATAAAACAGTTTCTGTTGAAGTTTTGGCACAAAATCATTTCAAATTTATGATTTCAGTCTAATAACTATTTTTTAATCAACGTATTTAATTTATGTCAATGACGACAGGTATTGATAATTTCGATTCCAAAAATCTCGGGAACCATTACTCGTAGCGATTTTTGCCAAGAGACCTTTTTTACGTAAAAAACGTCGTAAATGTATATTTTTTTACTCAGTAGTTTTATACAGGTACGGACGAAAAGTTATTACTCTTCAAACCAGTTAAAAAATATGTAGGTGGCGCCCTCTACAATTAGGAGTCATATTGACATCAAAATCAAATTTCTCATGTCTAAAAACTCTCAGACAACAATTTTCATCTAAATATTGACGTTACTTCTGAAATTATTTGGAAAAAATCGAAATATAAATGAAATTTTAGGACACATTTAAGGAACTTTTTTACTTATTTTTTTCCTCAGAATATGTTGCCGAAGTTTCCGGAATACAGTTCGGACAACCCTGTATGTCTAAACAATCTCGATAATATGATTACAAAATAACTAATTATCAAAACTTATATATAAAAATATCGTGTTCGAATATTGATAATCTCTATTTTTAAATAATATCAAAACTCATAAGTTATTCAAAACATGTCCGACAATACATTTAAATTTTTTCGTGCTATTGGCGATGATCGATAAGCACTTAAAACTGTTGAGATAGGAAATCAAAATGGTAGGCAACCTCTGGCTACGAAAATAAATCCACAGTTTTATTTTCGAAAAATATTACCTCAACAGTTTTCAAATTCATCCAAATATCCCAATTTAATTGATTTATTTCACAGATATATGAATTTTATGTATAACTGGCGGATATCTGGATAATCCAGATTGAAATTTTTTAACAGGATTAAAAAATACCGTGTGTTATTCCAGATGAAAAAGGCCTATTTCTGTATGGCGCTGTTAAAAACGGAGCATCATTTTTAGAAACGTCTGGTTTAAAAATAGCGAGTGAAATAAAGCAGGGTAACGAGAATTTGAATTTTTTAAAGGTAATTAATTGGTTTAGAATAAGTAGCTTATAGTTATTAATGATACAAGTTTGATACGAACATCATAACGAAACGCCTGTAACGTTAGCCGAGTGGCTTAGTTACACAAGTTTCATTAAAAAGTTCGTATCGAACGTGTATCATTCAAAATTTAATCTACGACGCGGCACGAGGGACGATCCAAAGAGATTTGATTTAATTTAAAATATCAGAAATATCCTCATAAAAATTAAAATTCAAAATAATCAGGTGCCCATATTAGTCGACGCCGCGCCGTGGTAATCGTGCTTGTTGATTGTTTCCATTTTGACTTTGACAACACAATCATTGATGTTCAATTTTGTGTTAAACGTTCAGTTTTAGCAAAAAGCAAAAAATAATATTAATATGGGTGATTCTGATTCTGAAAGTGTCCCTTCGGATATTGAAGGCATTGCGCAAAACGTTGTCGTTTCCCTACTTCCCGAAAAATCAAGACAAACGTACGAGCAAGCCTATGTAAAACTTGGTGTAAAGGGAAAGGAATCAAGAAATGTAGTAACGAAAAGGTTCTCCTGGCATATTTTGAACATCTTTCAAAACCTAGGAAGGCTTCATCACTTTGGGTATATTATTCCGTGCTACGTTCAGTTATACCAGTGAAGAAAAATACAGACAAATACAGTAAGTACGTCCATTTAATTGCGTTTCTAAAAAGAAAATCGGAAGGATTTGGGTCAAAAAAATCGAGAATTTTAAGAAAAGAAGACATGACTCGTTTTTTGTTGGAAGCCGATGATAAAACTTATTTCCTGACAAAAGTTTTATTGATAGTGGGACTTGCGGGAGCCTGCCGGCGTGGCGTATCTAGTTGACAAATCTGCAGCTGCAAAATGTGAAAGATGAAAGACAATGCATTCATCTCATTATTCCATTTACGAAAACAAAGATATCACAAGATTTTTTTTATAACGAAAGGGATTGTTGAAGGAATAAATAATATGGTGGAAATGGTTCGAAGATATATAGCTATGCGGCCAAGCAACACAGAGCATACTCGATTTTTTGTGGGGTACAGAAATGGAAAATGTATTAAGCAACCCGTTGGCATTAATACTTTAGGGAAAATGCCATATAAAATAGCATTGTTCCTAAGTCTTCCAAATCCACAACAATACACCGGACATTGTTTCCGTAGATCGTCTGCGTCGTTGCTTGCAGATTCAGGAGTGGATTTAACTGTTAAAAGACGTGGTGGTTGGCGCTCTAACACAGTGGCAGAGAGCTATATAGAAAATTCCAAAGAAAATAAGAAAAAAGTGTCATGTAATATTTTAGTAACATTTCTGGCAATGATGGGTCTTTTATATATTTAAATACTCTACAATTTTTATAGAAAAAGGAAAAAGTATTTAGAAGACAGTCAGCGAGCAAGTCAGTGTCCGAAAAATGAAGTGGAAATAACGAGTTTAGGTTCGTCATCCATATCCTCGAAATCATGTATCGAAGGAACGTCCACTTCAGTTTTGAAAAGTAATAGTGCTACTAGTGGTAGCTTATCATGAATGGATACTACAGAAATAAATAACAGTACACCTGAAGCCCTTACAACAGAGGAATACTGTGAGAATAATGATCCTCCAGAAGAGCAGTCAACTGAAGTTCAGTTTCAGCATAAATTGAAGAGAATATTAGATTTTAATTTTCAAATGAGTGGTAAAATCAACAATACTTCCTATACGGCTTTTTTAACGAGTATGTGACCACCACCACCAAAGAATCCCAGCTTTCTTCTTTATTTTATTGTTCCTAGGTAAAAAAGAGCACTGTAAGAAGGAATTTTCTTATTTACCTCCTAGATTTCGGTAGGGTTCAGAGGTCCTATTTCGTCAAAGCAGGTGTCAATTTTTGAACCAAAGGTTGACATAGGTGACCCAAAGGTCGGTTACCGCACCTTATGCACTATATCGGTATTTTAAAGGTTGCCTTAGGCAACTCCGCCATTTTAGTACAATTTATCTTTTCGTGCGTTGTGGACGAATCGAATAAAATATCAAAAACCACAAAATACTGCGCATTTCGTTAAAAAACTGTATCTGTTAGGGTTAAAGCTAATTTTCCTGATAGATTTCGTATATTTTTCTCAA